GAGCAAGATCAGAGCTCAAATTTTAAGTTGATCAATTTAATCTGGATAGCTTCATTGTTGTGTGGCTGACACTCATTCATTGCCCACCAGGACGGAGTATTGGGTGTCACAGTCGCGGTACTACTGCAAGTTCTGCAAATGTTGGATGACCGACAAGAAGAGCGTACGGCGCCCGTGTTGAACCCTGTTGTGCATCTCGCTCACTGCCGCGCGCGAGTCTTGGTTGGCGGCGGCGGTGGCGTGTGTGTGGGACTAACCGCGCATTGGCGGCACTTCTCTTCGTGCAGACGAGGGAGAACCACGACAAGGGAACCCGACACAAGATGGCCTACAAGGAGCACTTCGACAAGCTCAAGAAGGAGAAGATCGAGCTCGCCAAGGCCGATGACGAAGTCCTCGCCGAGCTCCAAAAGATTGAGAGGGTAACGCACACGCACACGCACACGCACACGCACACGCACATCAGGAACCATCGCACACGCACACGCGTAGTTGACGTCTGGTGAATGTTTCCATCAGGCGGCCAACCAGCAGTACGCCGAGGATGTGACCAAGGGCTACGCGGCCCAAACACAGAGCGATCCAGCGCAGAGGCAGCAGTACTTCTTCTATGGCAGCGGAGGTGCGAATGCTCGTCGGTCCCGTGGTGTGTGTGGGGTGTGTGGGGTGTGTGTGTGGTGTCGTCGCGTGTGGAGGTGTGTGTGTGCGTGTGTGCGTGTGTGTGCGCGTGCGCGTGGTGTGTGTGTGTGCGTGTGTGTGTGTGTCGGGAGCTGCGGTTGAGCTCACCCCGCCACGTGAATACACGTGCAGACGAAGCGTTCGTTTCCGCGCAGTCTGAAGAGAAGGCCAAGCTCACCGAATTCTATCAACAGCAAGTCGCACACGCTTTGCCCGCCCAGGGTGCGTCCCACCGCACACGACACGACACGACCAACGACACGACCAACGACACGACACGACACGTTGCTTACCGTGTACCGCGGTTGGTCAGAGGTGGCGACGACGACCGAGGAGGAAGACGAGGTCCTGGCGGCGGCGCAAGGGAACCACGAGCTGCTGGAGATCATCGCCAAGAAGAAGGAGGAGAAGCGGAAGCGGGAGGAAGAGGAGGAGCGAAAGAGGGTCGAAGACGAGCGGCTGTTCGAGGAGAAGAAGAAGCGGGCCGGCCCCTACGGCATGTGGACCACCGTCGACAAAAGCGAAATGTACGCCCCCCCCCGTGTGCGGTCGTGTGTCGTGCGGTCGTGTGTGTCGTGTCGTGTCGTGCTCACGGGTTTGCGTTGTTGATTCTCAAAATAATAATAATAGCGAGGCGAGGGAGGAAGAGCAGAGGTCGTACAAGAGGCAGAAGATGCGCGAGATCGAGCAGGACAGTTCGGACAGCGATCTCGAGGAGGAGGACGATCGCATCGCGAAGAAGGAGGAGCCGGG